CGGGTCTCTTTAACATCCCTAACACGTGTCATCTTAGGAATCACCTTCTAAGGCAGCCAAAAACCAAGCACCAGGCTTTCACTGTCTACCCTGTGGGGACGTGGCGTTGAAATGCAGTGCAGGCGGAACCTGGAGTCTCTGGCCTCCAGCCACTCTGGCTCCTGTTTCTCATGACTGATCCCGACTGGACTAATTAAAGTTTAGGTTCTTTGCCTTCCGGCCAGCAAGGCAGGAGCCATTAACACTGGCCCCCGGAGGCATCAACCTTCCCAGATATCATCTGTGCCATAACAGTGCATAGTCCTTGCTAAAGAAAGAAAAACAAATTAGATAACCTTTCGGGGGTCCTTCCAGACTCCAGGATCTGGGATCTAACCACGTTCTGATGGGTATGTGGTGACTCAGCACAGCCCGAAGGAGGAGGGACTGGCGAGAACACAGCACAGCTCACTCGAGGAGCAGTTCAGGCTGGTGACGTCTGCCAACAGCTGAAGGCCTGCCACCCTCGATTACCATCCAGTGCCTGCTACGTGCCAGGTTTAGGTTGTCTTCTTGGTAATTTGATTTTTTAGGCCAAGGTGATAAAAATCTTTCCCCTGAGCAAACCCTCTTGACTCTTGAGATCAGGAGTGGACGTGCATCGGCAGAGCTGCGGGGAGGGGCCTGTGATGGGAAATTGGCCGCTCCCCCTGGCCGGCCGGGGAGAGGATGTGTGGACCGGGCAAAGATGTTGCACAGGCCCGATGCTGGGCCCGCCCACCTCCGAGGCTGCGCAGCAGGCCACCGGGGCCGGATGCTCGCCCCCTTTCTGCCTGGACCTGGCTGACTTCCCAGCCCTTCAGGGCCCAACCTGAGTCTAGGTAGGCATCACCCCTGTAACTCTCGGCAAAATTTTCCCTGAACCCAGAGCTCCCAGAGCCCCCAGGACCACTGCCCTTGATTTCCCAGCCCTTGGTGCCTTTGTTCCTTCACAGGGGATCCAATGCACAGAGCTAATTTCTTTTTCTCTCAAACTGGGCTGAAATGTCCTTGTCCTCACACCTAAGACAAGCATGAAGGTTTGCAAGGCAACTCAGAGAAATAGTCAATGTTGTATCATCAGTAAGGATTGAAACAAAGGTTTTGTAAGTGACTACTCTCTAATTTTGTTACCCAGCTCATCACATTCTCCACATTACAAAGTGCCACTGAAATATCTGCAACTTCATTTGTGACAAGGCTCTCAGCTACTGAAAGCTTGTTTCCAGAAAGTGACCCTAAACCCATTTAGGGCTCTGCCACTCTTTGTCTTTAGGCTTCTCAAATGATCCCAGGTCCGTTCTCACTGAGCTATCATTGGTTCAAGTTCATGGCCACAGTCTTTAATTCACTCAATGCTCATCTCTTCTCTGCAGTTGAGCCAAGGATATGCTCATGGCTGGAGAAAAGGCAGGCCCAGGAGCCATGGCCTCTCTGTGGCTTAACAACATTAAAAGAAGATTCATTAGGTAGTGGCTGTGCTTATAGACACCCTCCTAACTGTCCACATTAGACTCACATAAGTCAGAGAAGGGGGGATCGAACATTTAGTAAAATAAACAAAGCATCCCCTTCCCCATTTACAGAGGTCAGATCCTGAAACTCCCAGCATCGCCACACATGACACAGCCAGAAGCCTGTGTGAACCGTGGACCACACACCCCACCACCAGCAGCCAGTATGATCTCAGCATAAGTCAGGTGTAGGGAGACACCTGCACAGGTGAGGCTTGTGGCACTCAGTCAGCACCCCAGGGAAGAGTCCTTACCCAAAGCTATGTCCTTACCCTTCGCCGCCCTGCCAGCTGAGGCCGTGAACTTGGGACCAGGACTTACCAACACCGATGGACAAAGATTATTGCACTGGCTGCTCGGTGTTAGGGTGACATTTCAGGGACCCTAATGATAACACTTCCTAGGTCAGAATACTCATCTTTTCCCAAAGATCAGCGCTCACTTTAAAAACTAAACTTGTTCAGACTCTGGAAATAAAATAAATTTTCAAAAGAAGGCTAAAATTAGAAGTTGAAAATCACTGGCAAAAATAAACCTTCAGGTGACTCAACTCTGTTCACCCCTGGCACAGGTTTCAACTGCTGGTGGTGCCAATTGTTGCTCAAAAGTTTACTTTATTAGTCTCTTTAAATATATACAAATATGGGAGGTCAACTGTGAGTGTTGAAAAGCAATAGTCTCAAAAGTCTAAATATATAAAGAAGGAATCATTTTTCTAAATGCGCCAGAGCTGGCCCTGGGTTAGCGCTTCTCTAAACACAAGCAGGAGCACATCCAGGAGGAGGCGCCCGTCCAGGAGTCAGACCGGCTCTCTCGTGAATCGCGCTGGGACCACGGCTTCTGCCCAGCTGTGGTTTCAGCACCAATAGGTTCTTGGTGAGTTTTCATTAATCCACTTTTCTGCTCCGAATCTTGTAGAGAGGCATTATTTACGAAAATTTCCCTCTAATCGCATCTCTTGCTAGTCACTGAAATGAATGTATCACACTTTATTTAAACAAAGTTAGAAGTGGAAGGAACATTAGCAAACTGGGAGGCCGACAGTCCTGACTGCACAAGGAGACAGAATCCTGGGAGAGAGAAATCACTTGCCCTCGGGTGCAAATTTAGATCTTGACGAAACTGAGTCAGCTCCTCACCAGCATTCTTTCCGCTATGATGCATGACAACATGTTAATCGGGTTTTTATAACCGAATTCTGCTTCCAAGGAACTTGCCATTTAACTCTTCAGTAGAGCTTGCCATTAAAAACAGGTTGTTTTATGATGCCTGTGTGTTGCCCTAATTTATTTTATGTGGATTTTAAATATCTTTATCCGAGCATGAAGGCACACCCCATTCCCTTAGGAGCTTGGAGAGAGGAAATGAAAGGTGGGGTGTGGGGAGGAGAGGCGGAGAGCAGAGTCAGGAAAGGTAGGTGTGATCTGGAAGCATTAATTCAAATGTCGATTTTCTTTTAGGATCATGGTCTCAGAATCTCTCCAGGAGTGCACCTGTGCTCACAGCCCCATGCTCCCAATCCCATGCCCCCTACTCAGGCAGCATCGCAGCTGGAAAGATGGCTCCATTCCCAGTGTACCAGATACTGAGAAATGTACCCATGGAATAGGACACAGTGTCGGCAGGAGTCTGCTACCCTCCAGGAAATCGAAAGGTTCGGAGGTCAATGCACAAGGAGCTTCTCCTCCAGACTCTATAATATTTCATGTGAACCTTAGTCATGTCCTGGAGCATAAGGATGGACTGTGCATTAAAAGATACAGAAAGTGCTGATTAATGTTGAGAGTGAATCAGGTATAAAATGGTGAGGGGAACCAACGAAGGAAATGTTCCATCCCTGTGTCTCAGTGAGCAGGATGCATATTGACAAAAACATATAGGGCAAAATCAGTAACAGCACCCAACTTTGCACAAACATCTAGTAATGACTGACTGGATGCTAGGTAGTGTGCCACGGGACCACAAGATGCCTGACACACTGATGTCCCAACCATTCTAGAGTCCACTGTTCCCCAAAGAATAAGGTACTCCATCCATCCATCCATCCATCCATCCATCCATCCATCCATCCATCCATCATCCATCCATCATCCATCCATCATCCATCCATCCACTACAGGAAAGTACAGGACGATTTCAACAACACGTGGGCTACAGGCATCCCTTAAAGCCGAGAGGGGTGGATTGAATCCCCAGAGTTGCAAAACTGGAGAGGGAACTAATCAGGCACCCTCACATTCAGGGAACCCTGGGTGCCTCTCGCCTGTTTCCCAGGCTTTCTAAGGAGAGAGGGACAGGCTGAGAGCAGCCAGCATTAACACCCATTAACACCTGTCCCCCCCAGGCCCGTCCAACAGCCAACATCACCCCCTAGTTACAGTCTAGCTATTATGACTTAACTAGTTGCTGTTATGTGTATCTTTTAAAAATAATCCATGCTTCTGACAACAGGGAGTCAGATTATTTTCAGTCCCAGTGTCGTTGGAGACAAATCCCTTTGCTATAACGCATCTCTGTAAACATGATTTGGAGGTTATTTCTAGGGTAAAAGTCATCAAAAAGCAGACTTGAGGTTGTGAGACGAGAAGCCCTAGCTGCCCATTGGAAGGCACAGCCTTCTCAGGCTAACACTGCCCTGCCTTAAGGGACGGAGTGGGGATGCTCAGGGGTCACCTTCATTTCCTTCATATAACGAAGGCTCGGCCCACATTTAATCAGATCCATTCTTGTCCTTTCTACATCGGCTAGGATTGTTGAGTTAAATTTCCCAACAAATCAGATGTGTTCTAATTGCTGAGCCCAGACACTTAGGGTCCCCCCAGAACACTGTCCAAGGAGCCACCATCCACCTAAAAAGAATGGCAGCCAATAAATAACCTCTGTGGCCCAAGGGCTTTCTCTGTCCAGTAATCCCCCTGAGCCCTTCTAATGGGGTCAAGCCAAGGACAGCGAGAAGCCCCTGTGCCTGAGCGCAAGCCCGCCTGCCTCCTGCAGCCCACACACTGACGCAGGCTGAGGCCGACAGAACGGGCGCCAGACGGTGCTCTGATGTTTCCTGAACAGCCACGAATCCTCACAACCAGCCTGGAGGTAGGCGCGCTTGGCTCCAGTTTCCAGATAGGGAAACTGAGGCGCAGAGAGACTAAGGAAAGTGCCTGATTCACGCAGAAGGAAAGCAGGGGAGCCAGGATTGGAGCCGGGCAGAGTGATGTGGAGTCGTGCTCTAGACTGAACACACAGAGGCTCAGGCATCTGCAGAAGATGCTCCGGGAAGCATGGGGCCCCCTGGGGCGTCTGTCTTCTGTCTCAGCTCTCTCACACCCTCTGTGTGGCTCATGGGGGGGATGCAGCTCCCACTCTGCAATGGGGTACCGGTCTCACCTGCTTCCCCAGACCTGCAGGGCCCTCTGGGCACCCTCCCTGAGCAGATTCCCGCATCTCCCCTGCTTAAGCCAAGCTAGTTCTCACCTTTCCAGGCAGGAGTGGGGCAGGGCTGCAAGTCCTTTGCACATATTGGCAACTGACTCTTCAGCTGTGAGCACAGTCTTAGCAGGGTGAGTCTTTGCTAACGAACTTCGGAGTGTCTGGGCAGGCTCCCCGGGCTGACTATAAGGAGGCCCTGCCCCCGGTCAGGGGCTGGTGGCCAATCCAGAGCCAGGAGGGCCTGGGAGGGGCCAGGAGGGGCCGGGGGCTGGGAGTCGCCTTGGCTCTGGCTGCCCCAGAGGACAGGGCTGCGGCTCCACCTGCAGGGCCACCTGTTCCCGCTGGGGATCTGGAGCCCACCTGAAGCTGTGGGCTTTGCCATGAAGCAGTTAGGACGCGGCTCAGATACATCCAGGTCCAGGCTGATAGCACTTCAAGGGCCCCGAGGAAAGAGATTCCGAGATTCCGGGGGATGAATTATAAATATTGAGACGAATGTAGCAACACTTGGATACTATTTTGTAATTTTCGTTATAGTATCCTCCTAACCCATAATTACTAAGAGATGTGGGGTTTTTTGTTTGATTTTGTACTTTTGAAAGTATAATTTTAAAGTAAGACTTTTCACTGTGGACCTGTAATTTAATTGCATTAGTCAAGATGATGTGGTCTGGAAATTTTAAATTCTTTTGAAATTTATTGTTTATTAGTTTTTTGGTAAATATTCCTTATATGCTTGAGAAAGCATGTTTTCTTTCTGTTAGATATAGGCAAGGTTCTGCACATCTGTAACTATTGTGACTATTTATTTTATTCAAATCTTCTCCACACTTACTTTTTATGTCTATCTCTCGGTTCCTGATGGAAATGCTTTAATATTCTCAATGTGAGATGGATTTTTCAAAATCTTCTAGTAACTGACATAGTATTTGCTTTGTACATTTTGAAGCTTTATTGTTAGGTACCTACAAGGTTATGATCATTGTATCTTTAAAAATTCTACATAGCCCGGCCGGGTGTGGCTCAGCGGTTGAGCATCAACCCAGGATCCAGGCGATCGGGGTTCGAATCCTGGTCAGGGCACATGCCCAGGTTGCGGGCCCGATCCACAGTCGGGGGCGTGCAGGAGGCAGCCGATCAATGACTCTCATCATTGATGTTTCTGTCTCTCTCTCTTTCTCTCTCTCCCTCTCCTTTCCTCTCTATGAAATCAATAAAGATATATTTAAAAAAAAAATAAAAAAAAATTCTGCAATACCTGTTGCTCCCTGTGTTCATTGCATGTATGTGCTGCTCCTTTGTCAGGCTGCTTGCTGACAGGCACCTGGGCTGCTTCCATGGCTTGGCTGTTGTAAATAGCGCTGCAATGAGCATAAGGGTGCATATATCTTTTTGAATTAGTGTTTTAGGTTTCTTTGGACAAATACCCAGAAGTGGAATCACTGCGCCTTAGCATTTTTAACAACATTGACTGTATTTTAAGGATGTCAGTAGCCTTTCAGGAGGGCAGTGTGACATGGTGGTTTTGAGCACAGGCTGGGGAGACATAGAGTGCCTCCTCCAAGCAGTAGCTCTGCCGCTAACTGACGCTGGGCAAAGTCCTTAAAATTCCAGCAGCTCAATGCTTTTTGCAAAGTGAGACTTAAAGGAGATGGTGGCCATTAAGTGTTCGCACCCATGCTGTTTGGAAAGCACTGGTGGAAGATTCACTATCAAAATTACCTCTTGTTTTTGCTTTAATTTGTTTTCTACGACACTGAATTTGCTCATGGTCTTCACCCTGTCAGGGATTTTACGTTTTGTGGAATTACCTCCTGTGGGAGTTTTCTCCCAGGCGTGTCCTGAGAGTCAGGGGCTGTGTGATGGTCAGGCTTGTGACTGTGCAGGACAGCTGGCTGGAACCTGCAGGGTGGGATGGGGAATAGCAGTTTAAACCCGGACTGTGCCCCGGAAGACCCAGGCTAAAGCGCCAGGTTTCTGAATTGA